AGTGCAACAGGCCCTACTGCAACAGGCCACTCCTAACGTAACCTAACCTAACCTGCACCTGTTTCGGTAGGGCCTGTTGCGCTCCGGCCAATTGTGCTCCGGTGCTGTGAAGCAGTGGCTGTGTTGTGCAAAGCTGATTTACTGTTAGCTGGAGTTACACACAGCTCATTTATCTGAGGCTATGTCTATGTGTAGATATTGCATGCTGATGGTTGGCGTTGGGCCCAGGGCCTGTTTCCGAGTCAATTTTATTACCCACGGCTGCGCTCCCCTTATCAGGCCAGTAGGGAAGTTGCATTTAATTTCCGGTCATTGGTGGACGTGGCAATTAGACCATCCGAGCTTTTGAGGTGATGCAGTTGACTGTTTGGGGATTCAAGATCAGTTCGTCACAGTACTGTCAACCGGGGCTACTCGGGACGGGCGGGGTAACTCGGGACAGTCCTCCGACATAGCGTAAAACTTTAGCAAAACTAATTGGAATATTGCAAAACTAAATATAGTGGCGTAAATGTCAACATTTTTCCTATCTATGTAGTATAAAGGAAGTTCAAAAATACTACATTCACTAGCTTTGAAAAAATTCCTGAAAAAAATGGTGAAAAATGATATTTTGAAAAGTTACTTCTACTAAGGTCTGTAGTAAAAAAAATATTCACCCTGGTGCTGGCTTGAAAACTTAATTAATGAAATTTGCCTATCTCATTCCAAAAAATATGGCAGCCATTTATGTATGGCGGGGCTACTCGGGACACCCCCTCCAGGGTAATTAGGGACACCCTTAAAAATGCATTTACAGTAGAACCTCAGGTAGCAAAAGTTCCAGTTAACAAAAAAATTGATTAACAACAAAGAATTTTGATTACATTTACCTTGCTCAGTGAAAAAAAATTCACTTATTGAAAAATTAGTGCACATTGGTCATCACAAAATTGTACATAGAATGCTATAGATAGAATTGTGCACCGGGCATTATAGAATGAAAAGTAATTGACCTAGACTATGATTTATTTCTCCAAAACATATGATGGTTGTCACTAAAACATTATTTTTTGTTTCAGGTATATTTTTCATGATCTTTTTTGTTATAGTGAAATCACTTGACTCAATTAAAATTGATTGAAATTAGAAACCATCCTGTAAGCTTACAGATACAGAAGAAATGTTACATGGCTGCTGATATGAAGCTTGCCACGGACAAGGTCGTTGTCAATGCTCAATGGCATGTCCATGGATACAGTAATATCACATTAATAATACAGTAATTAATGAATATGTAATATAATATCAATAAAGGAAAAACAAGTAAAAATCAAGGAAAATGTCATTTATTTACATCTACATCATCTACAATGAAAGAGGAGGACTTCAAAGTACTGTTAGTGATGGATGAGCGCACTCTGCAACTGCATGCTTCAAACTTTTTAAAGTTAACTTTTATTGCAAGTGTCCCGGATTACCCCATTCCCAGGGGTAAATCAGGACTGTTTTATTTTGCGTCTGTCACCTTACAAATAGCATATGGAATTTTTTTGAAGAAGCCATTGGATAGCCCTTGCAAAGAGCCATAGAATGAGCCTAAACTTGTTTCTGAAATGTTTCATGGTAAGAAGTTATTAACAAAAAGCACTCAAAACCATCCCTTTTTACCCCGTTTGACAGTATATTATATAGTACCATTTTGCTAATCATAAGTCACATGATACAATCACCTGACTGTTGTTCCTCCTCAGTGACAGACAATAAAGGAGAGCCTGGTGTTCCCTCTCAGTGACAAACAATAAATTCTACAAAAAATGTTAATTGTAAAGTTAAGGGAGAAACCAAATACAGCAAACATGACCTAGATTCATGAGAACAGCTTATAAAAATTTGCAGCACTATACCTCACCATTGTTTTCATCCAGGATTAGGTAAAGAGCATAATTGTCACACCTCCGACCATAGAAACGTATAATCATCCACTGAGCGCGAAACGACTTCGATTGACTGTTGCTACCGTGTATGACAACTTTAACATGGTCCCTGCAGGGAACTACAGTCCGGTTGCTAAGTGTCATAATTGTGTGTAAGTGTTTTTTTGTGCTGGCGTTGCCTTGGGGTGGTGGTATTGTGTCTAGTATGTTGGTGTAATATCTGTGTGGGGTTTGCACTATTTGTCTGTGTGTAGGTGGGTGGTTGCGTAGGTAGTGGCACGGGTGTTGTGTGTTGTTTATGGCTGTTGCTACCAGTATTTGCTGATACCAGTAAGATACCAGTATTTGCTGATACCAGTATTTGCTGTTGCTTCCTGTGGTATGGTATCTTTAGCCATTGAACACGTCTTCTGATTATAACTATATTATTATCCATCCATATTCATAATGATACAAAGGACTTCAATCTTCCTCTGCTATTTCAATTAAGGGGGTTGTCTGGGTCTAAAATCGAAAATCTTGGTTTTTCCATTTTATTGGCTCATTTTGTAGCTGCTGAAAAGTCGCATCTAATGCAGCAATCCGGATGCATGTGCGTGATCTAGTTTTTTTCTAGAATTTTTTAAAATATATTAAATGAACATTTTTAACAATATGTACAAAAATTTCTTCAAATTAAATCTGAATTTATTGATCACTATGCTTGTTAATTGCAAAGTGTTTGCACTCGTTTGACAGCTACAAACAAGAGGCGTTCAACAAAAACACTACCAGGGATGTACGTGCAATAGATTTGGTGCAAGGCTGTTTCGAACTTTTATAAAATGACCATTTTATATCAATATTTACAAATTTTTCATTTAAAAATACTATTTATGGATCATTATTTGCATTAATTGCAAAGTGTTTGCACTCATTTGAAAGCTACAAACAAGAGGTGTTCAACAAAGCTACTACCATGTATGTAAATGCAATAGTTTTTGCGTAATGTTGTTGTAAAGTTATGTAAAATGAATATTTTATTTACGTATGCATATATACATAAAAAGTCCCATTTATAGCTTATTATTCAAGTTAAACTGGACATGAATAAGTCTAAAGACGCGCGCTGGTACCCTGAAAGCAAATAAATGGCAATGGAAAAGCTTGGGCTACAGTATCAAGAAATTTTTCACTATATTCTTCATTTTTTTCAATGAATTTTACTTTAATTGGCTACTTTGAAAAATTTTTAAACTCCAAAAAACACATCTTAAAAATGTAATAACTCCAACAATTTTCAAGCTACAGCAATGAAAGACATACCATTCGATTCGTAAAGACCATACCTAGCCACTCAGAAGCCCTTTTTTCGAATTTGAGCATGGTTTGACTTATATATGTGGGGGAATGGGGGAAAATGTGTAAAAATTGAGAAAAAAGCACATAAAAGAAAAATGATGAGGAAAATAAAAAATCGGGCCTCTAGAGTTGCTAGATAATGTTGTTACGAATCGAATGATATGTGTCTTGACATTGTAGCGTGTGATTTGCTAAAGTTAGAAACTTTTTTAGAGTACCCCCTATTTTGACGTTTTCTATTAATTTCTCGTTTTCTTACATTTTTTCCAAAAAATTCAAACGAGCAAATTATTTTTTAATTTACAAGTTTTGTATGTGTGTGAAATTTCAGAAAGATTGGTTAATAAATGTAGAAGTTTTTCCTGGACCCAGATGATCCACTTGACCTAGAATTATCCAGGCCATTTCTTTTATTCCTTCTCTTCCTCAAGAGTGGATTCTGAGCCCTGCATTTCAGTCCTGAGTGCTGGATATCAATGAATGCTCTACTGGTGGCTTTTTAAGGTATGTGATGCAATATTGGGCAAGCTAATTGTGCTAGAGTGTTACGTGCTACTACCTTAGCTACTTTGCAAAGGCAGTGTTAGCTACAAACTTATTTTCCCAAGTTAAGTATCAGCACCTAAATTATCTAGCAAATTGAGGCCTGTTACCTCTGCTAATAATATTCATGAATTTTTATTATATTTTTCAGTGTTTGAAAAGTCTCAAACACATTATTTTAATTTGGTTTTAGAAATTCAAGGTTTTCAAAAAAACTTTTCCAACATTTTATTTATACTTGAATTTTTTCTCCACAATTTTAATTTCATTTTTCTTTCTAAAATGGGATAGATGCTAAATTTGTCTCTATCAAATTTATTTGTGCAGGTAAAACTGCCCACAGAAATGACAGCTTGCTCACAGAACATCATACTTGTACCTGGGATTGAGCTTTCTCCTCAGGAAGCCAACAGATAGAGAGAACTTGGAAAAATATCAACGGATATTAAGAGAACTTGAAAAATTTGCTTCAAATAGTAATCATCAGTAAAGGTGCTCATACACGGGGTGATTACTTGAGTCAACTACAGTTTTGCAGGCTGACAGCCTGTGCACAAGGAGAGCGTTTTCAGTACACTGCCAGCGCCAGGGCGACATTGGGAGTTGTCGAGTAAGGGTGTGCATGGTGGAGGCAAGAGAGAGAGCAACACAGTTGTGCATGCTTAGATGGCCAAAGCGGCACTGGGCACACTAGACTACTTCAAAACAACTCGAGTTTCTCTGCGTGCAATGCACCAGCTAGTTGCCTGTGAACACATCAATCTTCACAAATTTTAGTTGCATCGACTAGTCGATGCAACTATTTGCCTTGTGTATAACCACCTTAAGACCATTTTAAGTAGAAATGGCTGGAATTGGCTTAGAGTATGTATTATTTTGTTTGCTATTATTTATATTTTTTATTATTGGCTTCAAGCATATTACACAGAAAATATCATTAGTGGCTGGAATTGAGCTATCACCTGGCGAAGCTGCAAGGTACAAAAACATTTTTGCTGTCCAAGTTCTCTTGTGTGAAGTTTTTCGTGCCGTTCTAAAGTGGGAATGCAGAGACAAGCAGCAAGGGCAGACATATGCTGATTACCTTGAACAAAAGAAGCAGCAGTATGAAGACCGCCATGCTGCCCTGGTGGCAGAGAACAATAAATTTAAATTACCAAAAATTGGACTACCCACACATACAATTAAAATGCTACAGGAAGAACCATCAAATTATGATGTAACTCTAATATTTTCTTTTTTGTTTGAAATATTCAAATCAAAAGTATCATACACACACATTGGCCCTGTGAGAAGTCTCAGTCAACTAGAGTGCCTCCTGAAGGAGGCCAAAGACATGAGAAATGATGTTATGCATAAAGTCGCTGTCAGTGCTGTTGACCCTACGAAGTTTGATGAAATCATCAAAGTGATGCATGATGTGATAGATGAAGCTGGCAATGTGTGCAGCATCCCTGCTGATGAAGTTACAAGTGTCAAAACCCAGGTAGATGGGATGTGGGATGAAGTGCGCACAGATAATGAAAAAGCTAAGGCTTATTGTTGCTTTTTCCTGCAAACTTATGGAAACAAAGAAGCCAAAGTCATGTGGGAAGCGATGTTTGCTGAAGAAACTCTACTCTTTGGTGATGACAAAGTTGAATGCTCAAAAGTTTTTTATCCTCTGGAATTGACACTAAAGAAATCTAAAGATCAACCTGAACGCAGGATCTCCTACACTGAACTCCTAACCGGCAATGATAAGTTCATAGTAGTCATTGGTGACTCCGGGTATGGGAAATCCACTTTGGCCAAGAACTTGATGATACAGCACCATGGTATCTCAGATGCAGAGGTAGAAATGTTCAATCTAAAGAATCACAATTTGTTGCTTTATTTTGAATGCAGGAATGTTTCTACAAAAGAATTTACTGATGTAGTAAAGGAAAACTTTGGGAAAGTGTGCCAGAAACTTGGCTCTAAAACTGTCATCAAAGGAATCACTGAGTCTAACCCTTTGATTCTCATTGATGGCTATGATGAATGTCATAAAGACTCGTATGAGGTTGTGCAACAGATGGTGAACAAAATGAGGAACCATGAGTGTCGTGTGATCATCACCACCAGGCCAAGTGGTGCTGATGAGCTCAACGACTTTCTGAAGCGAGAAGGCGTGAAGTTCCAAGAGTATGAGATATCAGAAATTTGTGATTTAGATGAACAACTAAGATTTCTGGAGAAGTATGAAAAATATGTCACTCCACATGCTGAGGAAGTTGTGAAGAGCTTCAGCTCTCTTGGATGGAGCATTCAAGAACTTTTTGTTCGTCCAATTAATTTGGTTCTCTTTTGTCACCTTGTCTGGAACTTCCCTGAAAGGATAAATAATTTGAAATCTCATGCTGCTGTAGCTCGAGTCACGTATGATCTGTATTTGAAAATTATTAATTCTAAGCTGGCAAACATGAAAATTGTTGACAAATCTGGCCTTATCATTTCTTTCCTCCAAGACTTGAGCAATTTCTCCTTGAAAATGATTTGTGAAGGTCATTTCGTTTTCTCTGAAAAGCAAGTTGCCGATCTTAAATGCAGTATCAGATCAAAACTCAAAGAATATGGGGTGCTTGGGACGCTTGATCCTAATGCACTTCTGGGTGTTGTCTTGAAAATAAAACGTCCAATGAAAAGTTTTGAGTCGTGCACATATTTCTTCCATCACAAGAGCATACAGGAACTGTTTGCTTCCAAGCCTGTCTTAATGGAGCTCCGTAAGAATAATGCCTTACCGCCCATCCTGATGTCACAAAAATTTGATATTTTCAAGTGAGTTTTCTGTTTAGAAAGATCTAATTGAGTTTCTTAAGACTGTTTCTGAGATAGAAAACTCCTGTGGCTGTCGTTAGAGGATTCAATCATATTTTCTCAGACCTGATACCCCCTACATTTCACAGGGCTAAATTTTCTATCTAAATATTTTTACACAGAGACCTAGTTAATTTAGGTCTCACTACATTAATTTGAACTAATTAACAAGTGTCTCACTGTTTATATTATCTTGCTGTGCATATACGGTACATGATATAAAAAACTTCAATACATATGTACAAAGCAGGAAAATGAAGTTTTTGAAATTACAAAATTAGTTTAACAAACGTAGTAGCTGCACTTACACACAATGTTTTCTCTATAAACTTCAAAATGATTCCAGGTGAATTTTAACATGGATAGGAAGATAAACATTTTTCTTGTGAATTGGATATTAATCACCATTATTAATGTTGATTTACTAATCTGTAATACAATTAGTCTGTCAGAAGTGCCCACATATGTGTTCATGGAGCTGAGTGCTGCTGAGGAGTCCATTGTCTTCTGGAAAAACTGGCCGCTCCTGTGTGATGCTATGGAACGCATAGACATGTATGACTGGGAGCAAATATTGCTGAACTGTCGTGACTCGCAACATATTGCTGAAGCAATTGCCGGAGTCTACTTGGCACACAGCAACAAATGGAGCATTGATGCAGGTAGTATTTTTATTTGGCACCTTAATTGTTTGAGAGATTTTACTTCTGGCATTGTACTGTCAAACCTTCATGGAACTTTGTGTTTCAATGAGATTCTTGATAGTTGTATCTTGATGGTTGTTTACAAACCTTATTGTCATTTAGGTGAACATAGAAGTCTCTACACAATAAAATCTGAAATAAAGAAGAACTTCTACTTTCCCTCAATACAGGGTTGGCAATGATTAAATCAAAGTGATTAAATCATGTGATTAAATCACTTGATTTTTTTATATCATGATTTTTTTATAAAAAAATCAAGTGATTTAATCACATGATTTAATCATTTTGATTTAATCATTGCCAACCCTGCTAAGTGGTAAACACCACCTTGGCCTGTTGGCCATTATTGAAGGCAATAAGTGCCCTTTTTAGCCATCCATTATGATCCATATACTGTTATTGTTAGTAGGCTAATTGCAACATAAAAAAAATAACAATTCAAAAAGACAAAAAAGATGAAAAAATAAAAAAAAATCGAATAAATAAAAAAATCATGAAAAAATCAAAAAAATTATTGATTTTTGATTTTTTTTATTTTTTCAAAAAAAAATAAAAAAAATCACCAACCCTGCCTCAGTATATGCTCTCTTCTATCTGTCGATCTGCCTTTGCTGCTGAAATCATATACCTCCTTAAGACCGTTTGGCCGATGCAAATTTTTCTTCTATATGTCCATGATAAACAGGAAGATATAAACAGAATTGAATGTTGTATAGCATTAATCAACAGAAAATAAATGTATATCAGACAATAATTATTAGATAATCTAATTATATGATACTTATTTGTATACTTCAATGTAAATTCCTAGACCACAGCAGATATGTGAGCATCACTGTATTTGCTTATTCTTTTTCAAGTGTTATGACTATGAAATTTTTCTCTCCTGAACATTGCCTACACTCATTGAGATGAATGTGTAATTTTGTAAGTATTGATCCTCTATTGCTAGCAGCTCGAGCAGAGAGCAGGCGTGAAACTGATGAAGATCACTGTAAAGCGCTTTCTAATTACAGTGTGCTGGCATGTATAATTTGATCTAATTATTGCATTTGTTTCTAATCCGCACTAATTCTTTTAACTCTTATGTGGTCAAGTATAGAAATGTGAAGAAACTTGAATTTGCAAAACCAATAAATGAAAGCAATTAAATTGTGTTTACACCTATGGATTTTCAAAAATAATTCATATTGGAGGAGTAAATGGCAGTTGAAGAATCCTTAAATACAGTCAATACTCTAAAAATATAAATTCAATCATTTAAATGTGAACAGTAGTAACTATCTTACCTGAATTTAATTCAATTTCATTCAGATACTCTAATTCATGGATAGATATTGCTACTTCCATCTTATAAATAAATACAGAAAGAGCGTCAATTTAATTATCTGAATCAACCATAAATATTACTTTTAATTTTTGGGTAAGGTAGGGGTAATGATTCGTATGGAATGATTGTCAGATGATCAGTGAATGGCAGAGGCATGTGTATGTTGCCTGTAACTCAAACCAGAGGCCAATGGGTCTTTTTGTGAGGCAATTTGATGTGATCATGTATGGTAACTTGCCTGATAAAGGGTTAACTAGTATATATACATTACTTGTGCTCATTCTGTTGTTACTTTTGAAGCACATGTAAATTTTGCAGAGCTTTATGATTGCGATTCCTGAGTAAAAATACGCATAATCTTCACGCAATTTGTTATTATCATACCATTTGCAAAGGATTTATAATGAAATTTATGACAATAATCTATTGTTTTTAAGACCAGGTCATCAGCTGTTTACACACACAGGCCACAATGTTGATGCCATTGCGCTGCTGCTGCCCTACCAGCAGCCCGCCACGCTCAGTGTCTGGCTCTTGGATGACCCTGCACCCAAGTCCTGGCGTTTGGTGGCTAGGACATTCAAAGGAATTCTTGAGCTGCGACTGTTAATGAACCACTATTCACAACCGTGTGACCACATGCTTGAAGCCTTGAACTCCTCGCGGTGCGATGATCAGGGAGTATTTTCTATTATATATATTTATTACTAATATGTTGTACATTTAAAGCTCTTAACATGTAACCCTCTTTAGCCATGAGGTATCATTCTTATATATTATATTGTTGTGCAGCTGCTCGTTGTCATCGTTTGCTGGTCGTATCAAGGATTCAAACAGCATCCGATCCTTGGCCAAAGTCGCGACGCCCAACTCAGACTTCTTGATTGTCACGGAGCCGCACGTTGACTTAACGCCACTGCAGCACCAGCACCAGGAGCTTTGTGAGTGTGAATGGATCCATAGATCTCTGTGAATAGATATTATTAATAGGATAATTAACATCTTACGTATGTAGGGTAAAAATATCTAGTTTTTAGAGCTGGTGAGATGACAGAATTAACTTTTTTATTTTATATTTTGATTTGAGGTTTTTTATTTAAATTTGATTTTTGATATACATTTTTTGATTTGAGGCAATTCTAGACCCAAATACATGGAAAGTCAGAGATTAAATTTGTTGTAGTCAGTCAGTAGTTCCCAAACTAAACTGGCCTTAATTACCACAGGTCTGTTAATAATTTATTGACTCACTGTGTGTACAGCAAGACTGAAGAAAATTGAGCGATGAAAATCAAGATGTCAATACATCAAATAGTGCTCGGGTTAATCTTGACTCAGTCTGAGAAAGCGAGTGTGAAGTTAACTTAGGAAAATGAATTACTGGTAATATGGTTGCATGTAACAAAATTATTATGAAAACTATTAACCAGTATTAGAAGAGTAGATAAAACACAAATCTGATAATTCCTCAACTAGACAATAATAATACATAACAATTATTGCAACTTCTTTCAACCCGTTTGTGTATGTTTGTATTATTTGGAAAAATTATCACTGAAAATCCTCTTATTATAATTGAATGCAAATAAAAATGTCATCTTCGCCTTTCAATTTCTCTGTACATGTCCTTGATATTTAGAGTTTTGAAAGAGACATTGGACTAATCGTGCTATGTTTAGTTGAGTGAATAGTTGAAGATGTTAGGCAAGCTCTGCTGTAATTCTCCTCATCTATGAAGTCAATATTTCTACAAACACACATTTCAAAATTATAAAAACCTATCATAATTACCATATCCTCAAACATTCATTTCAAAATACCCATTCCATGAACACCTCTTTTACAAACAGCCCTGTCACAATCACCTTTCCCACATAAGGTAAACCCAGTTCACAATCAACCATTTCAAAAACAAGTATTCCACAACATGCTTTCCAAAACACCCATTTCCTGAAGATTGTTTAATTTCTTGCCCTCGCAGGGGTGATTGTTGAACCCAAATCTGAGGGCGACATCGCTGCCCTGCCCACGTCTCCCAACATTTTCCTTTTGGTGAAGTTGGTTGCTGAAAATCAGCAAAAGAGTTTGACTCGCACCTTACTTGGCATGGCTCCTGCTGACAACAGGTGGTGGTTCCTTACCGTGTATCATGATGATCAGTAATGTCTCATTTGTGGTTCTGAGGGTGCAAATAAATCGTTAAGAAATGTGTTTTAAGACCTGTTCTTATGTGATGAATGGCTCATGTCAGGTTGCGGAGGCTGGAGGTGCGTGACTGCGCGTTGACTGAAGTGCAGCTGCAGGAGATGCTGGTGGAGCTGCAGCACGCGGGCCTAAGGACGATCTTCACGAACCAGCAAATCCACGCGGGACCCAGCCGGGTGCTGACAATGCGGTAAATGAACTGATTTCTTACATCACGCTGCGCCGAAATTATTTTGTTGAGCTATAGAATAATTATTTTACTTTAAAATCTGTCATCCAAGGAACAATTGATTCCTGGAGGAGTCGCAAATAGAGGAATGAAGCCATTGTGTTTCTTCACTAGTGTCCAGCCATTTTAATTTTGCTTAAGTAGCGTCTGCAACTGACGGAGGTGCGTGTGAGCCAACCAATCAGAACGCTGTAATGAAGAGCCGCTTGGAAATCACTGATGTTCTGAGTGGTCCAAGCAGGAGCCTGCAGTTCATACCCAACTGACATGCTCAAACAAATTTCGATAACTAGGAAACACAGCCTTAATAATCGATGCTGCCAAAGTAATATCGAGCCGATAAAGAAGGCAGATTTCAGTTGACTATCTCAACAAACAAGCCGGGGAGATTTTACACTTGCTTCTGAAATTGGTTATTTGAAATGATGTAAGTAGCTCCAAACACTTGAGGTCATTAGGTTCCATTAAGGAGTAATTCTCACTGGCTATAGTGTTGAGGTAAAAATAGGACCTACCTGATGAGTTCAGGTAGCTCATATGACTTGAGGAGTTCCAATAATTAAAATATTATTTCCATAACGATTTAGAGTAACAGTCACTCTGCCTAACAAAGCAATCTTTATTTCTTTCCTATTCCATTACATGCCAAAATATATGAAACATTTTCTGCTCTCTGACAGAGAGAAGAATTACGCGCTGATTCTCACTGATGAACCGCCCCTGCCACCACAGGCAGAACACAGCAGGTTGGTACGACCAACTTCTGGCCATATTATTTAAAAATGAATTGAATTTATTCTTTGAACCTTGTTTTGCACGTACTTGGGTCTTGGGGTTGGTAATGTAGATAATATTTGGGTTGTGTTAAATGCATTTCAATATTGTACCTAGTTAAAATAATTTTTTATGAATAACCATAGTTTTTAACCCTCTGCATTTCTTTAATTTGGGGTAGTTCAATTAAACGTCAATTGTCTTATTCGGATGACGCTGACGAAATTCATTACTTTCGTTTCCTGCGATATTGAAGAATTGATGGATATTTATTCATAATAGTTCTGTATAAACGTCAGATACATAACATTGCAGGCATGTCGCATCAGAACCTCCCAAGTCACCTGCCAGTCTCCCCGCTGCCCCCGCCGTCGGTGGAGAGAACCTCTGTCCGCTGGCCTCGTCATGCGGGGACCTGGACGCCGTGTACAGAAGTCTGTACGCCCTGAACGTTGTGCTGCCGCACGCGCTGCGCTTTGTGATGGAGAAAACGTGCGTAGATAAGCCTCCGGAGGTTACTTACTTGGATTACTGTTTGACAAGGTACACGCAGAAGAACTGTTCAGAACTCCTGTCATATCTCTGGCGCAATTCCTATTTGGTGGAAACTCTCAAAAAATGTAATTGTGAGGAGTTTGATGTACGGCTATTCGATGCTCAGCCTCTGATCGAGCTAGTTTCCCTATTTCTTAGCCGGTTGTTAACAATGTTCAATGGTGGTACTGATAAAGTTGACCCCACAACTAAAGATGAAGACTACAAAAATTTGTTAAACCTTATTGGAGAAGTTCGACGCCTTAGGACAATAGTGCACATCAACCTCATGGAAGATCCTACCAAACTGGTGGGAGTGCCGGACAGGATCACTGAGATCGCATACGAGCTGATCAGCAAGGCCGCTGAGCTGCACCGCGTGCCGGACGCTGAGGCTAAGCGGGTGAAGGAAGCTTGCCGGGCGCTGTGTGATAAATACTCTGATGTGCGCGTTGATGATGACGCTTTCGCTGCGTATTATGTAGTGAAAGAGAACTTGGAGAGTAGAGTCGACGTGGAATTTGAAAAGGTATTTGATGAAAGATGTGTCAGTATTTACGAGTCCCCAACCCACAGACGGGATCAACCCTTTCAGCATCATTTTAGCTCAAGATGTCAGCAATATCAATTTGATGAGTTATTAAAGTATAAAATCTGGGGTAAGGGTAAGTTGCATGGCGTCTTCATCCACTTCATGTGCCGCGATACAAAATCCTGCAGTTTTTCTGACGTCATCGAGCAAAACTTTCCGGAAGCCTGCAGCAAAATTGGAACAAACAACGTTGAATATGCTTTGAAACGTCTACATCCTCTGATCCTCGTTGACGGCTACGACGAAGCCAACGCCACGTCCAGCGTAGTCGTAGATGAAATGGTCTACAAATTCCATGAATTCCCATGCAAGATCGTCATCACTACCCGTCCTGAGGCTGATTCTTCTCAACGAAATATCTCGGGAAGAGAAGGTGTGGAATTTACGGAATCACTAATTCTTCCTTTTGCGCTGAAAAGGAGTAACTTCGGTGAACTTTTGATGACTTTGGATTCCTAAGTTAAATCCTGCCATGGTTTAATATTTCTCCTGCAAGAAAATTTTTGAACTAAACTTTTTTGGTCACATTTCCATCCAGAATTTTGATAAAAGTTCCACATAAATAGTAATGCCTTACAAATAGTCATTGGACATGAAGATTGTTTGTTTTTGGTGTTTTTTTTAGTCCAAGAAATACAAAGATTGGAGATTACATCAATAAAATCAGAGCTATCTTTTAAAAATCAGAGATTACATAACAAATCAGAGCTACCTTCTCCTTTGTGGAGGAGGTAACGTGCTTACTGTAACATGTTGGTTTTGCTTCTGGGGTGAACCGTTCAGGAACAACTGTCAACTCGGGGTTGCCATGACAACAAACGGAGTTGCTTGTTACATTACGGTGTTTTTATCAGGGCAATTATTTCATTGCATGCCCTTTATTTCATTTTAGTGTTGTTTATTTTATTTCAACGCTGCAATTTTATATTTTTTCAATAAATCGATCTTGTTCAAGGTGTATAAAGAGAATCTAATCTCAGACATACTCTTTATCAAGCCTTTCAGCGCTGGTATATTTAAGTTTTATTACACTTCATAATTTTACAGTATTATTATCGCACCAAGTGTAGGTTAATTTGTACCTATTCAGTACGACAATGGTTAAAGGTTAGAGATGAAAATGCACAGAACTCAGGGCGTCTTACAAGCGCTATCCATCATGCACGAGTTCAAAGTGCCAGACTTCGATGTTTATTATCAACACTTGCGTGTGTATCTAACAGCTTTCATGTACTGTATTCTAGTTAAGAAATACACGAATTGATTAATTATAATTGCAGTTAGGAACTGCCTTGAATCGCAGCTTAAAACTGTCAAGATTGACTATATTACTGTTAAAACTATAAATTCTATATAATGCAGTTAAAAACTGCCGTAATTCGCTCTAATGTTATTAAAACAGTAAATCCGTTATTTTATAGTTAAAAATTGCCTAGATGGACTATAATATTGCTAAAACTATAAATTTTCTAGCATTGCGTTAATAACTACCTTGATTCACAACAATTCTACATAGACTGTAAATTATTGGTTATTATTCAGTTAGAAGCTGCTCGTATTGGCTATAGTGCCTTGATAATGCAGTGAAAACTATCACCGACTAGAACACGCAAGGTGAATATGGTACGATTCAATTATATTTTAAATACCTTAATTTCTCATGAATCTCTATCTCTGAGAATCAGCGAGATTCAATAATGAAACTTATAACTTAGAAAATACTTACGAATCTCCGCCTTGAACACATTGTGGTATCCCTGTTTAATGGCTGTAAGGAAAACTAGAATAGGTTTAGGTTTTGTCACAACTAGTAATTACCCAAAAAATTTCACGATATTACGAAGTCACAAGCTTTGTGTAGACGTTACTCTGCCGAAGTGGAAGACTAAGTTTGGATTTTGTTATACATTTAAATGCCATTTATATACTCGCTTATTAGTGCATATTAGTATACACGTTTCTTTTATGGCCCTGCTTCTTCCACAACTATCAGCTTTCGCAACTCCCTTCACTTTTTCTACATTTTTATGAACATTCAGTCACTTGTCTCTTTGTTTCATTCAGAAGTATAAGTTTGAATCTTTCTTATGCTAGATATTCTGTAAGTTACTGAAGGGTAGGAGCGACGTTAACCTTATGAACATCACGTATTTTTTAACTTACCAATAAACGAGTTGATATTCCATCTCGGTATCACTCTATCCCTTGATTCATTTCCCATGTAGCTGCTCTGAATATTTCAAAACCGCAAACTTTATGATCCAAAATTTAGCCTACATACTCTTAGCTGTTAGTTACTAAATTTAACTCGGTCACTGCTTGTCATGTGAAAACATTCTATCAAATAATGTAGTTGTGCCGCATGTTAAGGATATACACGCTGACTCGTTGGTATGGAAGGCTTATTTGATCGGCAGCCTGTTTGTGCCAGGCAGGTTTCCTGCAATTCACAAGCAGAGCTTTTATTGGTCGCACTACCTGTTATGTTTGATACAATTCGAGCGATTGTAAGAATATGAATATGTGCTTCGATGCACACCGGTGGACAGTCATTACTCCCACTGATTTTCGCTGAGAAGCCCTGAGATTGAAAAAAAGCGTACAACCGTTTCGTGTGCTAGGTTCTAAACCGTACAACCGTTTCATGTCCTAGGTTCAGGGTGCGTACCGGTCATGGAAAACCTGGAAAGTCATGGAATTTGATTTTAAATTTTCCAGGCTTGGAAAGTCATGGGATTTCATTTCAGGTCATGGAGAGTCATGGAACAAAAGGCGTTTTGATTTCCCTCAATAAGGTTGATGTTGGTTACATGGCCAGGACTGCGATTACAAAAATCTTGCAGACAAGAAGGCAATGCACCACAGCAAGTTCTCACTTTCAAAACACGAGCGCGGGACTTCACGCAGGCTGTAGTCCAAAATAAACTGGACAAGAGCCCTATCAGGTATGTCCTTGATAGGAACCTGACTTGGCTGGTACCAAAAGTTTTCATCAAGAAGGACTGTAAGGAAGCCGACAAGACAGTAGAAGAACTGCCTCACTTTGCTTGTTGATGCAAAGAGATTCCCTAACACAGATGTGGATGGTGTGCGATGAGATGTGCAGCTTTAAAGATGAATCACATCATTGCAGTGAACTGAACGCACAGTTTCGAGCATTTTCAGCTTCTGATCGCCTGGACACTTTTTGGCATGCCATCCTGTCAAAGAGCACCTACAAGAAGCTCTGGAGTGTAGTGCAGATGCTGATGCTCCTGTCTCATGGCCAAGCCACGGTCGAAAGAGGGTTTTCGTTCAAGGAGGAAATCATGACACAATATGAAAGAGCGAACGGTGGTTGCCCTGCGTGCTGTGGTTGATCATGTTGCACATGTTGGTGGCCTGTACAAGATCACCATCACCCAGATGACCATTTTGCAGCTCTCAGTACCAAAACAGCCTAAAATAATTATTTGGCAGAAGAGAAAGAGCAGAATGCGATGGCCCAGAAAACCCAGAAGAGCAGAGTTCTGTTGGATGAGCTAGATGAACTGAAGAAGAAGAAAAGGCGTACGGAGGTGGCATCAAGGCGCTTGAGCAAGCAGCAGATGAATATGCAAAAGCAATGGAGAAACAGGGATAAGAAAATTATCGCCAAGTTCAACGTCATGAGGCGATCTTTGAAAGCAAAGCTAGACACTCTTGAACTGAACATTAAATTAAAGAAAAAGTTGATAAAATAGCTGCCAGTTGAATGTTAGGGTAGTGGTGTTGAAGAGTGTTCTGAACTGTATTGACATTATCATGTACAATCTTGTCTGCATTACTCAATACAGTATTTGTTGTGATTTGACACTATTGAATTCATAATAATACCAGCGTGGGCTTGATTTTCATATATGTGTCATTTATGTTCCTCAGTTTCTGCCTGCTCTATGCATTTACAAGTTTGCTTTTTATCAGCTGTAGGAGATGATAGAATATGCACAGTTAGTCTTTCAGTCATGCTAAACCTGTCGTATACGAGCATTGGAAAATTATATTGATGGGTCATGGAGAGTCATGGATTTTTTTCTAAATACCGGTACGCACCTTGAGTTACCCATAATTTAAACGATTACTCGAGAGTTCTCCCGAGCTGACGGTGACGCCTCAATCATGTCTGATGGACGAGTCCGTAACGGTCAAAGTGACGGGTCTCAAGAGGGCCTCCGTATACACGCTCCACACAACGGCCTCGGACAGCAACGGTGTGCCTTTCTTTACGGTCGCGACGTACAAGTGAGTAATTCTATAGTTAAAAATGATTTGAAATTAGTATCATGTACAATCTAGAGAACTAGTACGGGTTAGATACAGTAAATAAAAGTTACGGTTATTTTTATGTTTTACCTTCCCTACATGGATGTCTACTTTAATCTACCAATCTAAAAAATTATCCACATATACATATAAAAAATCAGTCTTTTATTTGTATATATATGTGGATTATTTTTGAGATTGGTAGATTAAAGTAGACATCCATGTAGGGAAGGTGAAACATTAAAATAATTGTGTAAAAATAGCTGCAAGCAAACTGAAATATGAAAAAATACCTGTAAATGGTAACTGGTAACAACTTAACAAGTAACAACTAACATGTTGACAGAAGGTGGAGCAGAAGGCCTTGTTCCCCAGGTTCAGCCACTCTGACGTCACGAAGCCCATTCAGGTTCAACTACATGTTATACGCATTATAAACTATTGACGTAAACATCGCTTATAGATGCCAGAGGGATATCATAATTATAATGTGCCCGATAGTTTTGAATATCCCGATACAATGTTACCTATACCGTGTCAGCAGCTCTGGGTATCAAACTTGAGAGTTCTAGGAAGCGAACTAGATATCGCGGCGGAGCATTTTATATTCACCAAGCTATAGCTTGACGTTTGTGGATTTTTTAGTTAACATGATCCGATTTTGTGCAGTTTGTACTATCGCTGTACCAATGCCCCATAGCTGTCCAGCTCGCAACGATCGGAGCAGAAAAGAGTGGCCTGAAGCCCGTGTGCAGCGTGCAGCACGAGCGTCTCCTCATGGCCGAGGGCTGCCAGAGGATTCCTGTGAGGGACGGCAAGGTGCGAGGAACGCTCTTCCTGCCTCCTGGTGAGTTCAGCGCTGCTGGTTAGCTAACTGAAAAATGACTATTATATTGATGATTAACGAATTTTGTTTGAAGCACGGACGCAGAAGCTATTAAATACATTTCAATGGAGCTGCTTAATCTTCACGATTCAAACTCCGCTCGTTAGGCGAAGGGCCGTTCCCCGGCGTTGTGGACATGTTCGGAGGAGCAGGAGGTCTGATGGAGCACCGAGCTGCCCTATTCGCCGCCAGGGGCTTCGCTACTCTCGCCCTCGCCTACTTCGCGTACGAGGACCTGCAGGAGAGCATGCAAACGGGCTTCGATATCGCCTACTTCGACGAGGCCGTCCAGTATCTCCTCTCGCGGCAAGAGGTCCGTGGCTTAGAGAAGCTAGATTGCAACTCGATTGAACGTTTTAGTAAAATTTCTGTAAAGAAGACGTAACAAGTCCCTGCTCGAGAGAAGTCGAATGATAAAGAGAGTATTTGTGCTCGAAAATTTAGTTGGCATTATTGACTTTAAAATTACTTTTTTTTCGGCAACACAAATCGAGAAATGGAGTTAAGTCTTGCTGTTCTCGGAGCTCTTCACTTAAAAGAAAACCATTTATCCTGTATTGAGACAGTGGTGTTTCAGCCAATTGTATCAATTCCAGCTTTTATGAAATTGTTTTTGATTTCCCGAAGCACGCATATTTTCAAGTTAAAATAACATTCAATATCTAATAGCGATCGTCATTCGAATTGCAGGTACGCAAGGTTGGCGTTGGTGTGATAGAGTCGAGCAAGGGAGATATCGCTCTCAGCATGGCCACCTATATTCCTCAGGTATGAATATGTTAATTCTTGATAATTATTGTGTTTTCAGGGTTATAAAATCTCTCGAGTGTAATCATTTCTCATAAAGTACTTTATGATTTTAACCATTTACAAATATTCTTCTGCCTATGATCGACGTAGCTTTTTATTATATTTTAACAACAAATTATAATGGCTTTGAAACCTGTTCGTAGAGCTTCTTATTCTCCGGTGCGAAGTTAAAAGCCCAGCTTGGGAATAAATACGGCTTAACGCATTTATTTTCGTCAATTCGGTCTATGCGTGATTTATGTCATTGTGCATTAATTATTATCCTAATCAAATCGGCAGGGAATAAATTAGCAACCATTTCTAGCGCAATTAAATTTGCCTTACTCTCAAATATACCGCAATGTAATGATGTTATTTAAATCATGAATAAAATCTGCGCATGATTGTTATAATTTATAAATTTATCACATGAAGCCTGCTTAAGTAATTAATGAATAATTAATCGAATTGATTACTACCATACTTTGCGTAAACCGCTATACTTATTATATTCAGCGCCATTCAATGTTTTTTTTAATATTGATAAGATTCTTCTTTGCAGATCAAAGCCGCGGTCGTCGTGAACGGTGGCATCTACTCGGCCGTTGGTGCTTTTAAGCTCCTTGACGGCACCCACAGAGCTGTTGTGCCTCTTGCATTCGAGAAATTAGTTGTGAGTAAACCGTGGCTCAGAAAGTAAATATTTCATATTTTCTTAAACCCAGCAAATTTTTTTGCAAATATATTTGCCCTAAGAAACAATATTATTTGTCCGAGCTCATCAATTTCACTTGGCATGTTCTACCGAAAAAGATTTTTGTTGAGTTATTTTGAGCTGATATGTATAAAAAATTTTATTCGCCAGTTTTTTCAAGCACAAATTTAACGTTTCTTCGCTCATAGTGACCTTCAAGTTCTCCAAAACTTAACGAACTTTAGATTTCATATGGGTCAATGACAATGTTCAGCATTTTAGGATTACGTTAAAATGGCTTCATAGATAAATATCTCAATGATTGAAAAATTACATTTCATATAGGCTACCTGATAAAATTTTATTTTCTGTTTGTCTTGTTTTAGGAACCTTCCATCTCTTCTTTACATGAACACGCAAATGTTAAATTTAAAGCATCTCGAGTATCGAGATTAAGCTAGGCGTGTAGCAGTTGGATATATCGTCTTTGTCATCAGCTGCACAGGGACGGTGTAATGGAAACGTACCACGCCATGTCGGATCCGCCCGACCATCCTGAGGCGATCATCCCTGTGGAGGACGCGTACGGCGACATCCTTTGGCTGAGCGGTCTGGCTGACCGAGCTATGAACACGGAGATGTTTGCGCGGCTGGCGGTCGAGCGCTGCACCGAGCGCGGCAAGCCCGACAAGGTTAAGGTGAGGCTGCTGGTGGCGATCTAATACGTTGCAAGATTTGAGTTCTTACATCATTAGTCGGCTTAATTCTTTAATCATTAGTATGCTTGATTCTTAAATCATTAGTCTGCTTGAATCTTTAATCATCAGTCTGCACAAACTCTTCAAGAATTTAACAGCGAAGAAAACGCCAAGTGAATTCTCCATTTCTGCAGTGAAAATTGAATATTTTCATTGAAGATACTGTGAATTTACTTTGCGTTTTCTTTATTTTCGTATTTTTGGTGAAGATTTGAGTAGATACTATAAAAGCCCAGGACGATTTTTTATGAAGAAGAAGATAATTACAACTTCTTTATTGCTTCATTTATGTTATTCGCATCATTGATTAATCTCGTGATTCTTCTTTGAATTTCACCCGTATTCTTCGAATTCCAGCAACGAGAGAACGACGTTGTCTCAATATTACCTTACAGTTCTTCCCACTGCTCTTAAACTATCACTTACGTACTACGAAAATCTGAAATTAAAATTATAAATTTCGACAGTCACCACTTGCTTTCGATCACAGTCATTCACGTCATTCAGTTCAAATCAAGTTTTTTACATCATCATAAGTTCAATTAAGATTGTATCCTATAATATATGGTCAGGTTCTTAAGTACCCCGGCGCGGGACACCTTCTTGAGCCCCCAACATCCCCTGCAGCAGCATCACGTTGCAGGAGCTCATGAAAATCGGCACGTTGAATGGAGGCAACGTAGAGGAGCATTGCGTTGCTCAAGAGGACGCTTGGAAACAAGTTCTTGCATTCTTCAACGATAAACATCAATAAAATAATCTTTACTAATAGCTCAATTCCCAATTGATTGATAATTAATGTTAATGGAAATCACCGGTCAGTGATCGTTAGTTCACGCTAGCGCAATTTAGACGAAGTGCGTGAGCTACTGCACGGCAATAGCCGGCTACTTTTTGCAACTTCATAACGCCTCAACCCCTAAATTAGACACAGATCTAAATTAAAATCAATAGATTTGAAACTTTCATTCATTAAACTATCATTGAATCATAACTTGATTATCATTCATAGAAGGAATACATATTTGAACAAGGTTAAATTGTATCGTTTTTATTCCTCTCCGGAAGACCATTAGCTTAAGCCAAAGCATTCGAAGCCTTTTGAGTTAAATATCTGTCGATTTTTTAAAGTAAAAGTTTAGAAGCTTGTCTTGTGATTAATCTCAAACTCTCAGCAAAATTGTTAACTTGTTAAAAAATACCTGAATAGAGCTCTACAATTTATTCCGATTTTGATGCTGATAGAAATATAGAAATATCAGAAAATAAGTTGGTATACAAATTTTTTTGTACGAAAAAACTATAAAATTTATCCACTTGATGTTTCAACTTGAAGGCACTACATTTGTGACCTGCAATGCAAGGGTAACTGGTACAGGGATATTGTAGGGAGCAGACTGTTAATAATAATTATAATAATGGCGGTTTCAGCCTTTATTAGAGCGTACCGGTTTTAAACGATCAATCGACACAGTATTTTGTACATTGTCGGACATTTGGATTACAAAATACTGTGTCGATTCTGTCGGTTGAGTTCTGGCAGTGATCGAGGACGCACGTACGTGTTTGCGGGTCACAACTTTCTCACTTTTTACTATGCCGGTTTGACTTATCTCTCGAATTTTGTACCGAAACGATTTCAGTGAAAGGTTAAATTTTAGTGCAGTTCAGTCAAAATTGTGCGAATAGTGAGAAAAACGGCTGGTACAAGTGTTTTAGTTTTATTCCCGACAAATGCCAGTGCATGAAACGAGGGCAAGTTTTGTAGCTTGTTGGGAACCCTCGGCGACCGCCTGTCACGGAGAACAATCAGTGCCTTGACGACGCTCAGGCCTCGCCTCCCTATACCCTCTTCACCCTCTTGGCCCCTACACCTCCCCCTCTCCACCCGCCTCACGCGTCGGTACCTTGATTCCCCAGACCCCCCTGTCTTTCCCTCGTCAGCTGCAGCTCAGCTGTTCCTCCAGCCGGAATTTTCGAGAGAACTTTACTATACTCAACTCAACTCAGTTTTGTATGTTTCTCCGTCCTTTTCTGTATTTTTCTCCGTCCTTTTCTCCGTTCAAGAGATCTAGTTCGTGAATTTAATAATGGCTGGACAGAAAATAAAAAAGATAGTCGAAAAGCCCTCTACGGCCTCTAGAGAAAAGCCATCTACGGCCTCTAGAATAAAAAATAAAACCAAATCAGCCCACCTAGAGATAAAATTTTGTAAGTACTGCAAAGAGATCTCTCTGAGCGAAGTCCAGACGGTCACCTGTGAACGATGCGAAGATCTCATTTGTATCAGCTGTTCGAAGTTGAGCTCTAAGGAGTAC